AGCAACCCGATTGAAATGAAACGGCAAGTAAACGTAGTCTATGCGCATTGAAAGCGAATAGACACTTGCGCGTTGATGAAACACGTGGCCGTTCAAGGATAGCACAAGAAAGGATCAGAAATTGATCGTTGAGCGTGTACAGCTGCGCATACAACATCACTTGGAACAATACCGCAATTAAACATAATACAAACGCTGTGTTACAAAAGCGATCATACTCACTTTGAATTTTCACGAGGGATATACTCTGAAAATCGGCTCTCGGGTAAAACTATCGTCGAGTGGCGTTTCGCGCAAAAGTTCTTCGCGAGGGTCACGACCCGGCGAGAATTTCAAGTCGCATCTCGCCGCGAAAATTGACGGAGAATTGCAGTTTCGACGATATATTCGCGCGGCGTCGACGCCGCGTTCCGAAGTTGAAACGCTTTGTAAAATCCATAACGCGTCGAGCCGAGCGTTTTGTACGTGTTTCTGGAAAAGTTATTGCCGTCGGAGAGAAATGCGTCGAGAAACTCTCCGGTCGCTATCGGATTCGTGCCCGAAGACTTATGTCTCGAAAATGGTGTACGCCGCATCCATCATCGCGTAGAACGCCCGCGGAACAGGGGAAATGGAAATTGCATTGTTAAACTCGAGTTCTGACGTCGTCTTTGCGGATCTCGGAACACCGGCGTGGTCCGAGCACGGACAGGAACTGCGGGAGATTATAATTACAGGCGAACGCGAGATCGATAAATCACGCGAGACCTACGAGAGTAGAAAAATATTCCGTTACCGGGAAACAGAGCGAAGTGAAACTGGGAGGAAGGATGATATTCGCAAGAATAAATAAAATGACTACACGGGGATGTGCTTAATCGACGTATTGCCGTATCGGTTGACCGATAAAGTTGCAGTCGAAACATGTTCGCGTTAAATAAACGGAATTGGGTGGCGTAACGAGAAGCAAATAAATTAGGATTCGAAAGGATGTTTGAGCAAGTGACCATCGGAATAACAATCTATGGTATTTGTCTCATCGATGACGCGTGTGTACGGAACGTGTCTTCCAGCAACGTGACGAACCGCGAATTAATATGAAAAAATACTCTAAAACATACCGTTGAGATATACGGCTAAGTAAACGATTATTTTCCTCGACTGTACCGGCTGCGTAGAGTTAAGAATACGCGACTACCGTACCTTAAGCCAATTCTTCCGATATCTGAATAGGACTCGAAGTAAACATCGTAACGTAGAATCGTTTAATCCGCATTATCGTATTACGCGCTCCGAAGGGTTCGAGTAAATATATACCGATTTGGAGAAACGTTTTATCGATTCCCATCCAACAGAGCCAAAAATACGCGAGGAAAGTAGTATTGGCAAGCATAATTCAATTATTATTAAATACAAACGTTTCGAGCTTACGTTTAGCTTCTTTACGGCATGATTCGTGATCATCGATGGAATAGGGCGAAATAGGATAGAATATTCTTCTATAAATGTGTTGGATATTCGTCGCCAGTTTAAAATCCCCGAAGATATTCGCGACGCGGGTAAAACATTCGCGATCGAGAGAGAATCGATAGTTCGATGCGATATCTCCATCGGAGAATTTCCCGGACCGTATTAATTCGGCCAAGAATTTAGTAGAACGCTCGATTTTCGCACAGCCAATCGAACGAACGAGAGAGAAAGGGTTCTTTTCGTTGGTACTCGCGTATCGAAAACGTACACGTGTTCGTGTGAGTACTATCGTCAAAGGACCCGAGTCCCGAACTCCGAAGCAATACTTCTCGCATCGTTGCGCCTCCCGCGTATAGAATTTCACGATATTACGTGGCGGAATAACGACAGATTTCTTCATATATTTGAATTGGCTCGCAATTCTCGCAATGACCGAAAATGGAGCACTGCAATTTGGGAAATTGCTAATTGCGGATCATTTGATTCTCGTCGAAGTAAGATCGAATCGAAGACGATGCACGTTCGTATAAGATAAGTGTTGCATAAGAAATCGACTACTTTACGTTTCATTTGAGCGCGGATAGCAATTTCTGTTCGTTCCGAACGAGGTAGCGAACCGTAAATTATCTCTTAGATTATTACAGGTCGTTTACATTGTAGCGAGGTAGGAAAGAACAGTGATTTGCAGTCGTCGATGCGTTTAGGCTGCATCCCGATCGCGGGGACTTCAATTAAGTTGCGGTTCCATAACTTCCGCGTGCGATCGACGTTTCATCGACTCCGATTCTGCCCCCCTGGCCGAAACACAGAGAAACCTTTCGCTGAAACGACCGAGTGGATTGAGCAACGCGGTCTTCCATCTTCGTATCTCGTTTGCACAAGTGCATTACGTCCTAGGTTCGTTATTATTCCGTTAATTTGCCTTCCTATCCTCCTCGGGGCTCTCGCTTGCGAAATCACCGATGCCTTCCACGAGATATTCAGGACCCGCTGTGATTTCGAATTTATCGTTAACCGTGCCCCGCTCTGGCGCAACGTCCGATTATTGCAAAAGTTCGAAAACACGGAAACACACACCGAACGCGATACGTATTCATTCAACGATTCGACGCACAACGGCTTCGTTATAGATTTAAATATTTTAATTTTAGCCGTCTCTGTTCCAAAATAACGCCCCACTTTACCAGTCGGCCTTACCGCGAGTCGAGCGAAACTTTATTCGATCGCTAGGTAACGAATAAGATTCCGGATAAAAATCCGTCTCGCGTCTGGCTAAACGTGGTCGAAACGCCGCGAAATTGTCGCGAATTTGCGGTCGAAAGTCGAGCCTTGCATATTTTGTTTGACGTTCGCCTGTCGAGCGAGGCGAAGTTACCCTGGTCGTTGTCGCTTATTGCCTGGCGGGCTGCGTTCGAGCCTCGAACCGGGCTCATCAAACTTCGAGCAGCCTGCAGCGACCAGTGCGAACATCTTGGGTGAAACTTGAGCGACGATGTTGGATGCCGAATGCTTGGAATCCGTAAGCCTAGCGCAGAGGTTAGATCAATTATCCGCGCGTTATTTGTACGTGGAATAGATCGAAATTCTGGTTTCAATTGGAGTCGAGCAATGGTTGGCAATGAAAAAAAAGCAAAGCCAGCTGTACGCATAAGGTTCGTAGTCGTCTTCGTAGGGTTAAAAGGAAGAAAGTCCCACTGCGTGACATTTCCGTTATTCCACGAGCGGTATGCAATTCTCAGGTGCTATTACACGTCGGCTCGTGTGGCCCGTTATCTCGATGAAAGTGAATTATTCAGGAGCCGCTAATTAATTAGCATCGGCGGTGAAGGCATCGCGGGCACAGCCGCGATATCGTTTTCCCAGACGCGTGGAACGTCCTCGTTAAAGTCACGACCAACGGTGCGCGTTGTTCGCGACGTTTCCGGTGGATTTCTACGGAACACTTCCACGTTGTCTCTACCGTTTAATCATCCTTAACCGCCGCAGGTGCTTCTCGCTTTCGGCGCGGCTTCGACCCGCGAGACTCGAAAAGCTTACGAACTGCATAAGTAATAGGCGCAGCTAAAACTTCCGTTCTGTTCCTGCTGCGTCTCTTTATCTTATTTTGCAGCCTCTGGAAAGAGAAGGAAAGTCGTTATCGAGATGGAGAAGTAATAGGTCCCTGAAACGTGGCGCGAAGAGTCTCCGAAAGGGCTGTTCGGTTTCCATTTGACGATTCGTGGGTGTTTTATCGCCGATCGGTCCATTCCAAACATCTCGAAAACTTGGATAACTTCAACGTTTGGACGCGCGCTCTTCCCGAAACAAAACATTTTCCAATGAAAACATGTTTATTTCGGCTCTATTTTTAACTCCATTCGCGAAGCTTATGAATGGCGCAAGTACACTATCTCCCTTTCTCTTTTTGCCCTTTTATTTCGCTTGCGTTTTTTTTATCTTATTCTGCAAACGTTTAAGAACAAAGACGCAATTCTAGGAATGATAGCAAGTATCAAGAGTTACGCCACACGGATGTTGCGATAGCGATTCTTCGAAAGGCGGATCGCAAACGAAGAATGGTTGCGTGAAAAAGATTACTTCATTTCACTTGTTGTAATAATATCTCGCGACAGTCGTAACTGTACTGTTTCATCCCAATCTCGTTGTATCCCATTTTTGAAAAAGAAATCTTTCATTGAAACCAAGGAGATTCCCGGAGGAATACATTCGGTTGAGTCAAAGCCTTATCCTCTTTATCTACGAAAAGAAGCTGCCTTCCAGTTCTCCGCTGACCAAAAGGCGTAAAATACAGAATAGAACGTTCATTGTTCTCTCGTAAATGATGCTCCGCCAAATGAATTTCCTGCTCCGTTTTCGCGGCACCCCGTGGTTCGTTCGCGCAACGTTCCGACGCTGAATCCAGTGTTTCTCAATTTTTCTCAGCACCAAAGTAGTCGGAGCCATGGTCTACGAAGTCTCGGGATACGATCTCCGTTGACGATCCCTGGCTGAACGGATCAACAGCTTCCCAGCGAGACGGTCGTTATCGAATCTGCACCGAGCGAAATCTAAGCGCGCGCGAAGCGAATGCAAGAATGCGCACGGCGTGCGCTTAAAGAAAGGAGCGCACGGCACTGGTCTCTCGAGCACACCGGAAGCAAAGAATAGAAACGAATCGATAATGGCGAATCGTCTTATGTATTATGTACCCGATAAATAAACAGTCGAGGCTCGCGTGACTTCCGGCTCGTTTGACCTGGCGCAAATACACTTGGACAAAAGCAATAGATCGATGGCGAGGTGCGAAATAACGAGTATGTACGAGAAGCGTGTGTCATTGACGGCGCAACACCGAAACTCCGCATGCAACGGACGTTTAACACGGGCCCAGGAAACATGTTTCAGTCGCACAGGATGTCAAAGAGATGTGTTTGCCACCGGTTCTCGCGAATAACGTCACGTATCCGAATTGCTGGAGATTTCGAAGGGGACTCGTTCATTTTACTCTAGGGAGTAGACTTGAGGAACAGTTGCGTGTCGTCTAGAATAATGAACATTGAAGGATTCGTTACCGAACGACACGGATCTTTTTCTGTTTCAGATACCGAGCCCACGCCCTGCTCGTAGTCATGTGATTCTTCTCGAAGAAGAAGGCCGACCTTTGACATTTGGTTGCGACTAGTTCCCCGTAGAAACCCACCCCCGTCTTCAGACCTCTCTGGACTTCCGGCTGCGAAGATCGGGTGATGAGCTCAGGGTACAAGGTGACAAGCCCCGTAAAAAAATGTTTCGCTCCAAGATTCGCATTCACACGTGTCAAGTGATACTGCTCACGTCGCTGGTATGGTTGCTCGTGGACGCGATGGTGCTGATGCTCTATTCGGACTGTATCGGAGGGTCCGCGTGGGGTTGCACGGAGAGTAACAAGCAGCAGACGTTAACGGAGGAGAGCGTACCCCTTCCGAAAGCGCTGAAGGACGAGCAACAAATTCAGCCCACCAGCCAACAAAGCAAGAGACGTTACAAGCAGTCCGAGCTGCATCTTTGGAGGCCGGCGAAGGTTGTCCGCGAGAAGAAGGGTAGCCCTGGCGAGATGGGCGCAGCGGTGCACATTTCGCCGGAAGACGAGGCCAGGCAACAAGAGCTCTTCAAGTTGAATCAGTTTAATCTCATGGCCAGCGACATGATCTCCTTGAATCGCTCCCTGAAGGACATCAGGCTCGAGGGATGCAAGACGAAGAAGCACAACAAGTACCTCCCCGATACGAGCATCGTCATTGTGTTTCACAATGAGGCCTGGAGCACGCTGCTGAGGACCGTCTGGTCGGTTATCAACCGATCGCCCAGAACCCTGCTCAAGGAGATCATCCTGGTGGACGACAAGAGCGAACAAGGTGAATTTTCGAATGCGATCGATCGCTGTTACTTGGACCGTATCTAACATTGCTTTCCTTTAACGATGCGAATGCTTCACAGAACACTTGAAGCAAAAGCTGGAGGACTACGTTAAAACGCTACCCGTCCCTACGTACGTGTATCGTACCGAGAAAAGGTCGGGCCTAATAAGAGCTAGACTGCTCGGGGCGAAGCACGTCAAGGGACAAGTGATAACGTTCTTGGACGCGCACTGCGAATGCACCGAAGGCTGGCTGGAACCTCTGCTCTCTAGGATCGCCGAGGACAGAACCACGGTTGTGTGTCCCATCATCGACGTAATCAGCGACGACACTTTTGAATATATTCCAGCGAGCGATATGACATGGGGCGGTTTCAATTGGAAACTAAACTTCAGATGGTAAAGACGATCGATCATTTTTTGCGACGCGTTACGTATCGCCGAAGATGCTGATAAATAAAATGTCTTGAATTTTCAAGGTACAGAGTAGCGCAAAGAGAAATGGACAGAAGATTAGGAGACAGAACCGCTCCTCTACGAACGCCAACGATGGCTGGCGGATTATTTTCTATCGATAAGGACTATTTTTACGAGTTGGGCGCGTACGACGAGGGCATGGATATTTGGGGCGGTGAAAATCTCGAAATGAGTTTTCGGGTGAGTAACGGTCGATGATCAATTTTTTAATCGAATTACGCCGTACGAAGTGTTCGGTCACGAAGAAGTACAACCGAACGAGAAATACTAAATGCAAAGTGTATAGTGTTTAACTTTTTTTTTTACGACAGATTGTGGTGGCTGCAAATATTTACAGGTGATTCCCGGGGAAGATTGATTTTTTGTTACACGAGATTCTACTAAAAGATTCTTTTCCTTACAGTATATGTTTCCGAGACGTAGTTACACCGAATTATTCGTGTGTGAAATGTTTGATACGCTTAATATCGTGACGTAGCATTAACATAGTAGATCGCAGTTAATGCTAGAACTTTCGAAGTCTGTACGCTTCATCTGGTTGGAACGTGAAATTATTCTGTGCAACGTATACGTAGAGTAATATGTATTTGAGAAATTAAAATGCGAACACTTCTTTGAAGTTCTAGCGTTAAATGAGTCATTTTGCATTGGGATACCGTATGGTAAAGAAAAACGAAAGATTTAAATTTGTGATTCCAATTAGAGGGATTAGCTATGGATACTTTCACCTTCATTTGTGAAGTCATAAAGTACCTTATAGGTATGGCAATGCGGTGGAACGTTAGAAATCAGTCCATGTTCACACGTTGGACATGTATTCCGAGACAAGAGTCCATATACATTCCCTGGTGGTGTCAGCAAAGTAGTACTACACAATGCGGCTAGGGTGGCCGAAGTCTGGATGGATGAGTGGAGAGATTTTTACTATGCCATGAACCCAGGTTAGATAATACCGTGTTTAATTTCATTTGTTTTCTTTTTGTCCTTACACGAATACCACAAACTAACAACGTTAACTATTCGATAGGAAATTAAATTTGATTAATTCTGAAATTTTACTTTAGAAAAGTGTGCGATTATTGTAATTTTATAACAAGAAAGTGGCTTTTCTACAAACAAAAAACACACATAAGGTAAAGCGCGATTGGAATTTGATGCTTGTGCTCGTATGGTGTTAGTAAACTCTAACGCGAAACACATTTCTACGGCGTTGAAAATGTACTCGAAGAAAATTACGAGTACGCATACGTGCTGGACGGGTATCTGATACAAACTACGCTCTATATCCATATAAACAGAAATTATATCATAGCACACTTTTTTCCTTTGATTCTAATATGTTTTATTTCAGTAATATATATGTTGCTATATTTATTACGGTATATTCGCAAATATAATACTTCACTTACTAGATCTTAATGTTTTCTCGTAACAAATGTAAAATTAACTTTAAGTGTATTTATTATTGTGACATTAACCATATTGTTTGTGCATCCATTATAGAATGTTATATTAACACGTGTGTTCATACGTAGGTGTATTATTATAACTATATACGTGACAAATTTTCCCTAATTTTTTTTTTTTTTTTTTTTTTTTTTTGACTGGTGTGCGTGTACGAGTGTAAAATGGATTCTGGGCACTAGCTATTACGTTTAGCCATGAAATTTGATTTACAGGAACGTAATCGATTTCTTTGCATTTCGATACACTTCGGTATGGTCTTAACCACTCATCCATCCAGCCGACTAACAAAACGAATTTCTTCGCTTTTAGTTGATACATTTATAAACTATATTATAGGTACCGCAGAGGAGAGCGAGGTCCGTCCGAATAATTCTTTATCTAATGCATTAGCTCTTTTTCTCGTCGTGTTATAAAATCTTAATTGTAATTGCTAACGTACTAACAGAACTGAGTTGGTTAGATATGGATGTGTGGTGGGACATTGGAAATCGCAACGTGCTCGCACGTTGGTCATGTATTCCGTAAATCAACGCCATATACGTTTCCTGGTGGTACGAGCAAGATAGTGAACCACAACAATGCGCGACTCGCAGAGGTCTGGTTGGACCAATGGAAGTACTTCTATTACAACATTAATCCAGGTAGCACTAACACCAGCATTTCTGGAAAACGAACAAACTGCAATGTTATACCGAGTTCTTACATGTCTTTATGTATTTTCTTTAGCTTGTCTGTCTAGCATGTTTTTTTTCTGTTGGGGAATTGGCATGCCTTTATAAGTTGCATACGCTATAAGCTTATTCCAGCCGGATACCAGCTTCATGTATATCAGATACCCGTTAACGCTGTATGTATGGGAAAATGGTACAAGATATTCCGTGTGCTTTATGTATTTCTAAAGTAAACTATTACGATGAACAGTTGTAACTCGACGAAAGAGGATAGTAATATCGTAACAAAAAAAATGAAAAAATAAAAGCGGTACTAAGTTAAAAATTTACAATCTACTTCGAAAGAAATCCAAACTTTTCTTTCCAATTCGACACCTTAATATAAGTTATTGTACAGTAGCACAGTTATTTCCAAGAGCAAGCATATAGCATTAATACACCACACATGGCAATTCCTTTATTTTGGCACATACTTTCGACACATTCTACTTCCAGTGAATATTCATATATGCAAGCACATTATTGGATTATATCCATTTAAAGACAATATCGATTAAGCGATACTCAAATGATTACTTCATTTATAGGAGCTCGAAGTGTAGTCGTCGGTGACGTATCCGAACGAATTAAGCTGCGAGAGCAACTGAAATGTAAAAGCTTCAGGTGGTATTTGGAAAATATTTATCCTGAATCACCTATGCCGCTAGATTATTACTATCTAGGAGACGTACAAAACGTTGACACGCAAACTTGTTTGGACACTATGGGCAGGAGAACGGGAGAAAATGTTGGAATTAGCTATTGTCATGGATTGGGTGGTAATCAAGTTAGTAATGAAATTTGAAACGATGACTTTTTGTTTGACCAAAGCGTTATCATATTCATCGATTTTAACGATACTTTTTCTTTAGGTATTTGCTTATACTAAACGACAGCAAATTATGTCCGATGATATGTGCCTTGATGCAGCTAGTCCCCAAGGTCCCGTCAAAATAGTACGATGCCATGGTATGGGTGGAAATCAAGCGTGGGTGTATAACGAGGAGGTGCGATGAAAATATCGGTCTAGTTTAAATAGATGATATCTCTGTCGAGTCAGAATTATCATTTTTAAAGATCGTTTCTCTTTTCACAGACAAAGATGATCAAACACACTCATACAGGACACTGTTTGTCTAAACCTCGTTCGAACGATGTAATACAACCTGTCCTATCACCGTGCGATCCTCGTAATATTGGCCAGAAATGGATTATGCGTAGTAAATTCAAATGGCAAGCCAGCTAATACCAACTGAGTCTAAAATGCAACAATTGTGTGTAACATTTGTTGCCATATTTAATATACTACAATTAAGACAGTCGAGAGACTTCACTGCATACAACATCAAGACGGAAAATAGTATTATATTCCATAAAGTCTAATATCATCTTTCGCCGATCCACCGAACGTCGATGGTATCGACAATGCAACAGAAATTGACTTATACCTTAAAACTGAAAGATTGAAGTTAATGCTTTTAGTTATATAGGATTTATTTACTGTTAATAGCAGTATTGTGTATTTACTATCATTCTCATGGTATGCCTTGATTAATAATGCACAAGAGTGTTGAAGAAAAAAATATTTCCAATTGTGAGTGGATGTATACAAGTGATACAAAGAGAGATGTATGTGAACATTTTTTTTTTCTTTTTTCTTTTTTTAACAGTAGAGAGGAAAGCATATCAGACCACTGTTATAAATAAATAATTGTTGTTAATAAAAAAGAAGAGAGACATATTTGATAGTATGGGATGAGTGCAATGCCGGATGACTGGAAGATATATCAGTGCGCTAAACCACAGATATGTTTACGACAGAGTGAATGTTAGAATGCAAGTGGACTTATTGTGACACTACCGATTACGATTTAGGACTTATACTGTACAAGTTTCTAGCGATTAGGGAAGAGCACTGAATCTTTTTATACTGATATTTCTAACAGTTCCTTGTTGCATCTCGTTCGTATAATTTAGTTGTTATTTTCTTCTTATTTGTTTGGAAGGATAAATGTATTTATACTTGAATTCGCCATAGCAATATGAGATTACATTTACGAAATATCGTTTAAGAATATGAAGAACTATCGACTGTTATTCAATGTAATGTTATATTTTAAATATTTTCTTAAATTCAAGACAGAATGTCTTCCGTATATTCTTAGAAACGAAAGGTAAATATTTTTATGATGTCCCTACCATCTTGCATAGTTACAATTCTTAATGGATTCAGACGTTTTACCTTCTATGTGCTAGAGGTATGCAAAAAGTTTAGAGTGCAATATACTTGTTGATTGAGACACATAGAGAACAGTTTCCTGTAAGTAATGTAAAAATGTTGTTATTAGATTCTGGCGCCCTTCCCTTACATTGTAGTAGATTCAAGTTGGTAATTTTTTCACAGTCCGAAGGCAAAAGGCAGTCGACAAAGTAAAACATTTTTTTCTGGAAAATGTTGACTGATAATTAGAGTTAAATTAGCGTTTAAGAAAAAATATAGCTAATTCTGCAACTTGAAATAAGAAAACACAACTACAATTATAATATTTAAACTATATTATACGCAACTCTAAAATTTCAATTTAGGACAATTTTAATGGCAAAGAATATATTCAATTTTATGTTACTTGAAGGAATGGTGATGGTGCAACAGATTATCGTTTACAGCATAATTATATATTTAATTATTCATGCAAAACTATAGTATTTATTTTTGTACAGGACTTGATTTCTATTAAATGATTACATTATTTGAATGTATGTTGAATTAAGAATTGTATTAGCAAAATTTGTAGATAGTTGTTAGCTGTTTAAACTGCTAAAGTTAAGTTTAAGTAAGCTCAGAGTAAGTTCATAAACATAGAAAAGATAAAGTCAATAATAATTTGTAAACACATTTTTAATTTTAAAAGGAATCTGTTGAAGCTGCTCGTTATTAGTACTTACATACATATTGTATTACTGTTTCCATTTTAATTCATTCTACCAAAATAGTGTTCTCAATTATTCATAACCATTAATTAAAATACCTATAAACATTATATTCAAACATAAAATTACTTGCCAGTGCAAATTTCTTCCAAAACGAATGTACACGAAAGACTACTAAAAAGTAGTCATATTCTCTTATTTACGCGTGATGCGTGAATTTATGTATGCGTATACAACAGCGATTGGATATGAAAGAACAATTTCTTTTATTATTTATGATTAAAAAAATTCAGTCTGAAATTAATACAGCTTAAAGGACAATAAAATAGTCTACCTTCCATTAGGTTCTTCTCCATTTGTATTTATAATATATATGTATAATATCTAATCGCTATGATTAAATTAACACTTTCACATATTTTCTAAAACCTTAATACATTTTTAAGCATTAGTTAGCTTAATTACTTTAAACAAGGTAACATGTGTCCGTGTTTCATAAAACTTGTATACAAAACACCCATCGTTAACCCAATTCTCTCAGAGAGTGAAATTTGCTATAAGAAATTGTAAAGAAAAAGATCATGTATCTATTCCTAGTAAAATTTAATATATACATCAGAACCATGAGAAAATGTGAATGTAAATAAATTCACTGGCTATGGTTTCAGTGTACCTCCAGAATTATTTCTAAATATGACTTTCTAATCAAGATATCCATTAAGATCTATGATTCTGATGTATTATATATTGAATTCTCAAAAATCTATTAAACCCAGAAAAAATTGTATTTTGCGTTAGCATAACTCCTATATTAAAATAATTTTAAAATAAGACATTCAAGATCAATATCATTATAAGACTATACCTAGCAACTGCCAACATTTTTGCAGTTTTTTTCCACATGTTGCATACTCAGCTGAACGAGTGAGATGTTGAATGACTTGTAGGCCGAATTGTTAGTCTCGAATGCATCGAAAGATCCATGTATATGTCTTGTTCAACTGATTGCAAATTTAAACGTACAGTTAAACAGCTATCAGTTTAACAAAGTTTCAAGCAATGAATGAAGGGTTCAAATAAACTGAAGTCCTAAAATATTATTACAATATATTTATTATATTTACTTATTGTTCTTTAACTTCGCGCAATCTCCTAACTGCAGACCTAACAGATGCAGCAGCCGTTGTAGAATAAACCCATGCACCTCCTGCAACAGTCCTTTTGCAACGTTTGCACGACCAGATACCCACTACGCTTCGCTTCATCGCATCCTGTCGCAAAAGAGAGACGATTTAGTACAGACATTAAAGGTTAGGTTAGCTAGGTAACTATCACATGCTCACTGCTTACCTTGCCACAAAACGTGCAGGTGTATTTGCTGTGTTGGGTAATTTCCATCTTCTTAACCATTTTCCTGAGCGAGGCACCATATCGGGTACCATACTTGCCGGTGATTCCAACCTTCTTCGTGCGCTTTGCCTAACATTGTCAATAAAAGTATTTCGTAAATTTCATACATACAGGAAATTTAATATAAAGTAATGGAGTCCTTTAAAGTAATAAAATCACTTTTGCAAACGTTATTTCTATACTAATAATATAGATCATTTTATAAATAACACCATGAATGCAAAACATTTGGACTGTATATTTGACACATGTAGGTTAAGTCAGATGGGATTGCCACAACACTATTACTTCAATTCTTTTAATCATAAAACCAATGAAATGTTAACGGGTATTAATTTCTATTCAATAAAATCTTAATTTCACGCAAAAAGGTTCGTTACAGATTCACTTTTTCACAAAGGTAACAAACACAATCTTAAGTTACTATTTCGAAGCAAATTATCATTTAAGGCGAATGATACTGCACAATATACGTATCAACGTTTCGTTGATGATAGTCATCGACACAATGCACTTGGTTTCATTGATATTTCGATAAGATTGATAATATATTTCCCAATAACGATTCTTACCATTTTGTATAAATATAAGGTACTTTCCAAACGAACCGGAAAAAGAGAGAGGCTACAAAATCCGGAAATGGGCTACTGGTTTTATTACCAGTGGCGCCATCTGTTCCCGTACAAATTTTCCACTATATATGAATATATGTATACATATGTAGCTGCATTGTATATACGTATATGTATGTATATGCTTTTTATATGGCTGATTTTTAATTTATATCTTACAAACTAAATTAGCATAGTTCATAGTCATATAGACAAACACCGTATTCCTTTCGTTAAAATTTTTTCATTGAAATTACAATTTTTTACAATAAAGCTGTAACAAATTTCTAAAATACTTTACATAATATTAAAGTATTACTGATTTAAAAGAATTTCTATTTTTAAAATACAATAAATTTACACTGAACAAATAAATAAATTAGAAAACTTTCGTTTCCTATTTTGTACAATTTGGACTGCATCTGAAATGAATGTTTAATTCCATTTATAAATAAAATAACCATTCTACTACCATTATATTTGCTAAAAACACAACGTAAAACATACATTATAGACTGTAATTTTGATCGAATAAATATCGGCTAAAAGGTTGCTCATCTTTCGTTTGTTATTCGAAATTTGTCATCTAGATAAAAATATTGGGCATCTCTGGTGCATGCAATCGGGGTCCCGTCAAAAAATTTCGACGGGACAGGTAGAGCCGGTGCGCGTTGACCTCGATACCGCACCGTTAGCTTTCGACGAGGGTGCACTACGTGTATCAGGATCGCAGTTCGATCGCAGTCGCGACGTAGAAAGGATTCATGTGCAGCCGCGCATGAGAACACTCGTTAAACCGGCCTGAAATGACGTAGCCAGTGGATCCCAGACCAAGCCAGGCCCGTGCGCGTTAAATCAGTGTTGCTCATCGTCGACGATTTCGGTGACTAATAACCTATAGCGATTCACAGTGATCGCTTATCAGTCCGTAGAACCCGATAATCGTGGAACTTCACACAACGAACAGGAGTGCGAGCGTGTCGATTGATACGAGGGCGCCGGCTAACGATGGTCGTCAAAATCTACATATCGGGTATCAGCGGCAACAAGGAAGTGAGTGCTAATCATCCTTAGCGACCAGCGAACATACAACATACAACGATATTTTCTACGTGAACGACAGTTAGGGAGCGAGAGAGAGAGAGAGAGTGTGTGTTATATGCGTGTACGCGCGCATACGTGTGTGACATCGAGGTGAATGCCAGATTTACTGGGCACCTGAATTCTTACGATATTTCACGGCTACGATGGGATCGGGTTACATAGGAAACTCCACGGTTGTCGCGTCGATCTGTTAATCAACGCTGTCACCGACCCCGCTGGATCGTTATTCGCGATGCAACGTGAAAACGATTCCACGCATTCCTCGATATGCAGTTTCTGTTTAATCAGGGATGCACTCGGTGTACCGTGGAAACGTATGTTAGATTATGGGACGTCGATTGGGGCCCCGAGTGAACAGATACGTTTTAACGTGAAACGTATGTACTCGCGCAACGACAGAAACGTTCGTGGTTATCAGAAAACGGAAGTGGGAACGTATTTATGGGAAATAGGGCCACTTTCCTGGCTAATTGAACCTTTCGATGTATGTTTATATTCGTCCGTGGGAATAAGAAAACTTGCCTGTATAGAAAATGTAAAATGACGAACAAAACATAAGGGACTCGTACGAATTAAAATTTAAGTTATCAGACAGATGGTAATCGTCGATATGATTGATAACAGTACACATTCGATGAAATCGATAATGTGACCGTTGCTGCGCCAGAGCACGAAACAATTGAATTTTCGTTATCAGATCGAGTGTATGTTAGAACTATGTCGAATTAAACTTTGCGTCGAAATGTCATAAACTTATGTTTTAACACTGTTATCGTTTTGTTCCGTTACATGACTTTTTTTTACAGGTGAAAAAAAGGCAACAACGTGTTTTAATGATATTAGATAGTAAAAATGTACAATACGAAACTATCGATATAACAGAGCCTGGAAAAGAAGAAGAGAAGGAATTTATGCAGACCCATGGTATCGCAAGAGAGGGTAAATATCCATTACCGCCACAAATATTTAACGAAGAGGATTATTGTGGGGTAATTATTCTTATATTAATTTGTTGTCCATATTGCTCGATCGAAAACGATGTTTTAACTATCGCTATTTTAAAAGCAATACTTGTTTCGTGTGTTAGAAAACAAATAATGTGTCTAAAAAAAGCATACTAGTACTATACTTACAGGATTATGAAGATTTTGATTTGGCAAATGAAATAGATGAATTGGAAGAATTTTTGAAAGTGGCGCCTCCTGCTAGCGCGACAGCAACTACTCTTGATTCAAAAAAAATTAAGGACATCCAGGAAAATGGAAATACTACAAGTCGAGAGGTAAATATTTGATAATGCTTTAACAAAACGATAAATAAAACTGTTGTTTAATGTATATGTATATATATAGCTCTAGCTTTCTTTCATTTTATATGATTATAAACGTGTTTATTTACCTGTGTGTCCTTGGTGCTAAATTTATGCTATACATATACTAAATACCACACATTTATTTTAGCCTTCCTCAGACAAAGATGCAGTTGCAGTGCAAGAGGAAAGGTAAGCACTATAGATGCATGGATTGCATAATTCTATAATCGTTCATTTAAATTAAATAATAGCTATAATGATAGATATATTTAAGCAAAACCATTTATTATTGGATAATTCAATTGGTTCCTGATTCTGTCATCTTAGTGTAGAGGAAAGGACAACTCTGCCGAACGAGAACGCAGAATCGAATGAATCTAAACCTTTGGAACACGATGGTGGGACAAATATCGCGACCGAAGAAGCAACGGATCATCCCGAGGAAAATGTTGAGAAAAATGAAGAAAAATCTGATGATCAAGAGAAAGAAGAGTAAGTGTGGAGCGAGCCCATGCGATCGTGGGATGTTTTATATTTCTTTCAGATCTTCGGTTGTCCACCGATAAGGGTATTTTATAAAAACCTATATTTATCACATTTTTAAGGCTGAGTGAAGGTACTGCCAAGATAATTTTCTGCGCTGCAGAAAGTATATTGAATGAACAGTATAAATGAAATATAAGCGATAATTTTATAGAACTGTTTTATATTGCGATCGAGTATGTTTTCTGAAACAGATTTTCGATACGTCAGGCTAGAAGATATGAATAGATTTCATCCTTCTTCATATCACTAGTTACTATAACGTTTTTAATTTCTTATGCTGATACTTTGCATTGTTTATACGATTGTTTATTATTTTTAATCGCAATTCTAACAACATGCTAGGAGTAATGAATTTACAGTATTGATATTGCTTTCTGTCCTATTAGTCGCCAAAAGTATTTCAATGAGTTTAGACAAATTTATCATAATTTCAAATTTTGTATTAAGATAATAATCTTCTAATCACAGTTTCAGTTGTTTTTAAGAGTTTTCCAGAAGTCTTCGTACATTTATCTATGGTTTAAAATGTATATTACTTGCTTACCATTTGAACTAAGAAACGACTTCCGTAATATCAAATGTAGAATATCGTACCGGTTTGATCAATAATTTTAACTTAATTCTTTTAGTTGCATACAAAGTTTTTAAGATAACAGCTTCCTGTTGTGTAAGACAAATAAGTTCGGACAGTACAACACTCAGTTTTGCATATAGTGTAATTATTACAAAAGACGACACAAAATTAGTTATAATACATTTTACCAATATCATGCGCACTAACGATTCTTTATTGTCGAGTAAATACATCCTGAAATGATTCTTGAAATTATTTCTAAGAAAGTTAGGATTAATTTAGGGAAGATTTCTTAGGTCTGCGTAATGTATCTGACAAAATTACATATTAATTTGTTACAATTATATTTATACCAAGCCTATCCATGTTATTATTAATATAATTCGTGCAGATATTTCTAAAAACGTTAATTTACAACTAATTAAATACAGAGTATCGAACTATTTTTTCTTGGGAATTATTGAATTCTTTTGTCAAAGGCCTACTTATGATTATTTCTAAAAAAATTAATACCAACGAAACATATTTTATCGGATAGCTTAAAATGTTTTAATTATCTTATACATGCCGCTCATTTGCTATTTGTATGATAGACGGGTATTAATCACGAACAAAAGAAAGCTTTATGCAAATGTTACGAACTGTTTTCATATAAGGCGTAATAAAATATAATGTGCAAAGTTTGATATGATAACTGTGCACCAGATGAAAAGCCTGACTAATTTTAATATAGCGTACCTCAGCTTTTGAATATCAAATATTTGCTATTAGAAGCGAATTAGGGAGAAAATTATAAAGCTTTACCGAAGTAAATCGTAATGTCCATTGTTTGTTATCATAGATGGTATATCTGTAAGCAATAGGTGTTGGACAAGAACATTACAGTTAATAAATTTTAATATGATATATTCAAAATATACATTTGCGAGAACAATATTCATTATACATGATGTATATGAATCATGCAGATCATTGTTACATGCATACAAGAATTTACTAATAAATATCATGATCGAAGTTTAGAAATCTGTTTAAGTAATCCTGTACGTACATCAATTTTGCTATCTACAAAACATACTGAATACATACATTGTATAATACTAACACTTAAAGAAATTTTATATAGAATATAATGTGATTTATTAAACAACGAGATTATGCATATACGAAGATCGACAAACTTTCATTTCAAGGATAGTTGTCTTACAATATGGTAAGTAATATATTATGAATACAATAATTCTTAATGGACTATAATTCGCATGTCTATTTTTTTGTGTAGATTTATATGTATATAAGATGTTGTACTTCTTCATTTTAATATTCAATAAATATTTTTCGTAGTTTTATACCTAAATTTTGTACACAAAGATCTAGTTAACATTGTATATATAAACTGTTGACATGCGTTATACTTGTATTTTACTTTTTTAAAATAAATATCTAATACTCGTATATCGATCTATATTAAAGGACTAGCATTAATGTTAATAAATATAAAAATAAAACATCTACATTTATGAATATGTTTAGAATTATTACCACGTCAAGGAATTTAAATTAAAAGAACGACTTCAAACGTATATTACGAACATTCTTCAAAATACGTATTGGTTTTAGCCACTTTTTAGTGCACTTATTTTCAGTTAGAATTTGTTCGTTCATACAAATAAAACAAAGTTTGAACATTTATGCAATGTGTGCAACACATTCTTCAAATATCTTTCCCTTGTGTGATTGCAGTCTCTCCTACGATGAAACGAGAACAGCCTGAAAACAATAATTTTCAACGTGTTTTTGATTCCTTTACACAATGTATAAAATAATTAGGATCAAATACAAAACTCTGAAATAATTTAAGATAATTTTTTAATTATTAAGAAACATTTGTTTGAATTCTATTATAGAAGTATCTTTTGGTTTATTGTTTATAAACTAAAAATAATATATTTAAATGTTATCTAAATACACTTGGAGTTCAATTATTTCCATAAATGTTTTTAATAGTGTGAGTTATTATTATATTGTTATTTTATTACTTCAAATGAAATGTTGATAAACATTTTATACTGAATATTTGTGAACTTAAAGTAAAAATAATAGCACAAGAGTAACATTTATTTTCATTTCTAAATAAACAAAAAATAAAATGCATATATTGTTTTTATGAAATTCTATTTATTTTAGATCATATATGTTAGGTAATTAGTGCATGGTGTGCATATTTATTCATATTTTTCAATGTATACATATACAATATCTTTACTAAGTACAAATTTATTCTGAATGCAAGAACTATTATTAAATGTTGAAAAGTACTCTGGAGTAACTTACACTATAGTAAGTGTACAGTTGTTGCTCGTAGTAACAGATATTTATGTACACTCAAATGACACAATATAATGCACATTGTTCATATTCATGATTTCTAAAAAATCACAATTCTAGATACTGTAATGCAGCTTTTCTTTATAGGCACATTGCAAGGTGAATTTTTTGCTAACAGTGCTGGAGAGACTTGATAGATTGAATTATCGTTTTCTAGTAACACGTGAAAAGAAAACTAAAATTAAAACCAAAGAATATGAAAGAAACAGTTTATAAAATATTAAAACGTTACCATTGTGCATGAATCAAAAATTTTTTACATATAAAAGCTGCATAATCAATTCCAGACACCATTCAATAACCACACAAAAAAATCTGATTAATACAAATGGCAATAAGCTTCGACAAATTACGGTTTTACGATTTTCATGGTTTGTAAATTAGTATAGACTTTAGTAGTAACACGTAATACTCATGAAGTACTCTTCACTTCATCACAAGCTGTTCTTGTTTTATATATGTTACTATTCATTAGTAATGAAAGTAATTAGTATGTGCATTGGTGATATTGTCATACATCATTTTAATGTATGCACTTGAAAATTTACGTTTAAATCTGTGTTGCATTTTATACTGAACTCTGTACTTATTCGCACACTATTAGTGTGTATTAAAATAAATATTATAATTAGACTTATCAATGAATGACTAATTGAATAAGAACTAGAAGAAAAAATAGAATACTACAACCACCACCATAAATGATGTTTGATAATGCAACTAGAGGTTTAATGTTCTTATCCATTTCGGTATATTGTAATGACTTCCATTTATAAGAAAATCGGTATCTTTTTGATTATGCAATACTATTCACATATAAACTTAATAACATGATATTATTTGAATTCTAGTATATTGGTATTTTAACATTGGATCGAATATTTTCAACATAAGAAATTACCCCTTAAGAATATAATAATAAGTGACATTGATAAAGTACATTTAGCCATATTTGTCAAACAAAATACGGACTATGCATTTATAAATAAAATATTTGTCTAAATTGAGATGTATATTTTTTAATACATACTAGTTTTATATAATTGCCTGTACAACAATTTTAACAAAAACCTTTATCTTAAGATACTATTTGCACCTGTAAAAGGAGTGCTGAATAAGGCAGATCATATTTTCAAATATCGAATAAAAATTGTGCTTTGCCACATAAACAATTAAATATTATGCAATATTTTATGTTTCTTGTCACTATTATACCAAGATATTAGGAGTCATTAAAAGGTTATGTACTTGATTATGCAAATTCTTAAGCACTGTAACTCATATTACAGATTTATAACATTATGCTTACAAATTATCTGTTATGTATAACAGCAAAAAAATAAAATTTGATTAAATTACTGTGAATTCTTACAATATTTGAAAAATCTTATGCATAATTACTCTTACAATCTCACGAATTCAAACTTGACAAAGAAAAAGTCTTGAGATTCGTGAAATTAATATCACATATATTTTATCTGAAAAGTAATGTTAAACAAAATTTACTTGAAATTTCAGTCTCTTACGACTGTAATAAAACTTATTATTTTATATGAAACTGTAGCTTTATGCATATGTGATATATGTTTTGAGCAACATCTGTTGTCAGATCTTGCACTAAATTTAATGTCTTTTCATGAAAATATTCGTTTTATCCCATTTGAAATTCACAGTTTACAATATATAGAGTAAACAACAAAAAAAAAAAAACTTTGAACCAGCATATTATGTTGAAAAGATTAATCAGTTGGAATACAACTGATTTACTTCGATTAAATAGTAATAAACCATATTACTTACAGTCTTACACTACACACAAAAAATCAATCTATGGAAGGTGTATGTGATTGCTTAAGTATAAATCGAAAGTACACTTTTTCAAATGGTACTAAATTGTAATATGCATGTAAAAAGAAATTACATTCACGTCATACATACTCGTACGATAGCTGAAAACTATAACGTTATTTGTTTTGTATTGTATTACAAGGTAGAATTAGCTTGATAAATAAAACGATACTTGTTTACAACATTTGAATATTTATCGAATCATGAAATGAAAAATGCACATTAAGAAAAATACAAAATGTGGAGCTGACTTTTTTAAATTACATATTCCACATACTTCAAACAAAGTACTCTAAAAATGTATACATCATAGATATGAAAGTAAATGCTTTTATGAAATTCACAACAATAATATTGCCGATAGTATATAAGATTTTTAAGATTTCTATAAGAATTTTTTTACTTTTTATTATATTTTCTGTATTGCACACAGTTTTGACTGAACCTGTAGTTTGCTAGTCTTTAATATACAAAATTATAGAATGTACTTAAGTTTCAGAACATGCTAAAACTAAAAATAAGTAAAAATATAAACATCCAAGTTTATAATGTATGTAACTTGGACACAATAAAAAGTATCAATACTGTAATGCGTACTAGAAAAATCGCTCGTATTAATTCTTTTATTATGAAAATATAAATATATAAATAAGTAATATTATGCAAGATTTCGCTTATTCGCTATGTAAAATTTATATCATATTTTGTACAAGTTGTTTTGGTACCGAGAAATGATAAATCTTATATCCAATTCATGAATAAATGTAATGTACTTAATGATTCTAAGAAATTAGCAATGGAATAAAACTCAAAATAATGAGGTTAGGTTATAAAATGCTCGCTTTCTATAATAAACATACAAAATAATAATAGAACAATTAATTCTAAATGAAAATTATACAAATATTGTAAGCATATTGTCTAAGGTTTTACCTTTTGGGCATTGAATTTAATAACAAAAATCAGCATCATATATTAGTCAAAGTACCATTTTTCAATGTTTCATTTCATAAAGTGTATTACCCTATATCGTATATTTCAATGTATAATGTTACCCTCCACGATTGATTTTCTGTTAGTTTATTTTTCTATTGTAAGTACTATTAACTTATATTTACTAACTTATTCCATATACTAGTAAAATTTAGTTAATCCGTACCAAAGTATTTTTGTCCAAAATGATTTGGTGCTATACTAAGAATCTCCGATGTTAAAATCTTCATCTGTAAAAAGAAATTAAATCTCATACAAAAATTGTGATGTATTTATGATCCAGAGATGTAGCTTAAATTGCAAACTGCTTACTTCTGTCCTGCTATGATAGTGCTACATACATAATGATTTGGTTAATACAATCAATAAAATTACCTAAAAACGATTTGTAATTCAAATTGTGTCAAACATTGTAAATTATTTATTAAATAAAAAGAAAAGAAAAATTATACGATGATCAATTATAACATAAAAGAAAAATTATATGTTGATCACTTATAATTGAAAGCATTGTAACATTATAGCACATTTATCATAGCATAACATATAATACAAATTCACAAATTTTTAATTCAGTAAAGTATATATTCATTCTACTAGAAAGTTTTTTGAAAGGATGTATTCTATTTTTAAGGAAATTAATTAAAGCTTATAGAAAACTGTCATGAAAAAAGAAAGGTAAAATATTTGAAATGTACAAAAGTGCTGTTACATGTTTGTGTGTCTTGTGTTCAGGACATACCTGAGGAAAGGCAGTAACTAGAGATTTGGCTGCAATCGGCGTACAAAACAAATTTGATAAAATAATATTTTCTTCTAGCACATTATGTTCCTTTAGCACAGCTATGGCTTTTATCACAGTATTTCCAGTACCTATATTTAAAAATAAAGTATAATTAAATTATACTTTTATTATTATAGTACAACAACAACAATGTATGATTCTATACTTACTCATTATAGGATACATTAATAACACTTTTCGCTCGCATATGTCATCTGGAAATTTCGCATAGACTACCCTGGCTTCATGTGTATCTGCATCACTTTCAACTAATATCTTCCCAATTCTTATACTTCTGCAACAATCCCTTAAGCCCTAAAATGAAAAATGCTATTAATAGGATTGATAAATCTAACATCTTGATATTTACAAAATTTATATTATACCTGCTCCATGGCCTCTCCACTTCTCACTATTGATACCCCGCAATTTCCTTTCTGATATTTTAAACCATTGTACTTGGCACCAGTTGGTGTAGTCACCACACATTTTGAAAAAGGTAATTGATTCAAACTTTCTTCTATAACTAGCCTTATCTAAAAATTGCAAAGGTCAACTTATGATGAATCATCGATATTTGTATTAAAAAATATTAAGCTCCTCTTAAACCTCTTTTGTTTAAGTCAAAATATAACTTACATACACATTACAAAGTCATTAAATACATATTCTTTATATAAAAATGACAATATTTAAATAAAATGAAAATAAATTACAAAACGAATGACATTCTAATAATAGGCTTGACAGTTTATAAAAAGCATTTGTTTTCCATATATGATTAACTACAATTTGTCAATGAAAAAAAAATGCACAAGGTCATGAAAATCGACGTAACTCGTCGAAAGAAGACAAATATTGATGATTTTCAACACTTTATAAGACAGATATTGCTTTCATCGAATACTAGTCTACTCGATTGAAAAAATGTCTAAGAGTCGAAAAATTCTTTAAAAATTACATGACATCTTGTTGAAGAGCGTTATTTAAACAAAATAAGAAGGTACTCACTAGTCGATCGGCGTAGAACTTGAAGTCGCTCCTCGTGGTATTTCTGTAAACGGAGATGCATCATGTCCATTAATCTATATAATTGGAAATGAACAACACGATGCATTCGGCATTGTGCCGGTGTTTTTAACACTAAAAAAAAGCATGTTGCATATTCAAAGAAGAATAATCCTCGTGGTCGATTTACTTACTTGTCTCGCAATATAGTCTGCAACTCCTTCACTTGATTGTTGGTCGGAAGAATCTTCAAATTTGGCCCGTACGTGTCACTGACAATACCGTTACTTTCGCCCGACTTTTTTACAATAGACGTTACCTCTGTGCTACCCATGTCGGATTTTTCATGTGCATACACCACTTATTCGAACGTTCATATAATCACCACAGAGTACTTTTACAGAGACGAAACTCTGGCGTCGTTATTCACGTCCCGATTCTCTTACCGTGAACATACCTACGATACTAGCTAAAAAGAGCTAAAAAGATACTGGCTGTTTTCACTAAAAACTTTGGCGTTTTACCACCGATGGTGCCACCAGTATTAAAACCAATATTGGTATGCCGAGCAACTACCAGGGAACGAAACTGTATAGTTGAAGGTTCGCACATTGTTTCTAAACAGAGCGCCGAATTTATTAATATTTAAGCTGTCAAAGGATTTTGTGCCAAGTACGACAGTTGTTCGTAATTGGATGTGAATTCTACGATTACTAAAAATGTCTCATCCTTACGGAGGTCAGGCAACGCATTCTCGGCGAAACAAACACGGTAAATAAAATTATTGAGATGTTTTTAATGAAGCGGATTTCTGTAATTATAAATTTTTTATAATTTTAGAATATTTAGAAAATTCTCTTTCATAGCTTTAGATAATACGAAAAGTCTAATGCCTGCAATTGTCGTCCGTAATTTTCATAAGAGTTTCAAACTTTGGTTAGGTTTATTTTTCAGAGTAAAGTACGACATACTATTCTGTATTGACGATATCTTGTATTGTAATTTATATTTAGGAGATAGAGCTGAAAATTCACAGCCTGGAAGCTCGCGTTTCGAGCATGAACATCATGGTCGTTCAAAGGGCAGAGGAGAAGGGCATCCACCCTGGTTAAAGGGCAAAGCAATAGGACTTTATTATAGAGATAAATTATCTGCAAAACGAAAACAGAGAGAATCCCGTGTCATTAAATTACCATCAAATGTTCAGCGAAAAATTGAGTATGTATTGGAAAACTCTAAAGGATTTTATGATAAATTGTACAACAATGAAGCACAAGCAGAAGATAGTAACAGCAGATTGGAGAACAAATACACGCATATTCATGATTCACAGTTTAAAAGAAAGTTTTTAAATATAGTATCTGGTAATATACAAGAAAATTTAGCTAAAGCTATGCTTGTTGAATCAAGTATGAAAAGAAACAATGATTTAGATGCTAAGTTACTGAGCGACTATAAGTCAAAACAATCCTTAGAACAGTATGAAAGTATGATGAAATTTCGATTGAAGTTACCAACATATCACAAGAAATCTGAGATTTTACAATTAATTAGAGAAAATCAAGTTGTTGTAATAAGTGGAGAGACCGGTTAGTTCATTATTAATACATTCAAGTAAATAACTGATTTTAGATAGAAATAAGTAATATTACAAATAATTGATTTTATTTAGACACATACGTAAATGAAAAGATTAGATTTATTTATATTTGTATCATTTGTTTGGATAGTTTACTTGATACAGCTATTGTATAGATGTATTTTAGGTTGTGGAAAAACAACGCAGGTTGCTCAGTTTATACTAGATGATCAATTAGAAGAAGGTAATGGTAGCACTACTCGAATCATTTGTACTCAACCTAGAAGAATTTCGGCAATATCTGTTGCTGAAAGAGTTGCCGCTGAAAGAGGGGAAAGGCTTGGAAAATCTGTTGGATTTCACATTAGGCTTGAAAAGTATGTTTACATATTCTTGTATAATTTTCGTATAGGATGAGATGTATTGTTTTACTTCTGTTTATACATAGAGTATTACCCAGAGATAAAGGAAGTATACTGTTCTGTACTACTGCGATGCTATTGCAATTCATGCAAGGTGATCCAGCTTTAAAAGACTATTCTCATATAATATTGGATGAAATTCATGAACGCTCTACTCAAAGTGATTTTATTATTGCTTTGTTAAAATTAATTATTCCTAAAGTATGTTTGATAAAATTAAGTATAAGTTTGAATATAAAATTAAATAAAACTCTCCTTTTCCTTTAATATAAACAGAAATCTATTTCTTAGAGACCAGATTTAAAAGTCCTTCTTATGAGTGCAACACTTAATTCTGAAAGATTTTCGAAGTATTACAATGATTGTCCCATGATTCATATCCCAGGCTTCACTCATCCAGTGGAACAATTTTATTTAGAAGATATTTTATCATTTACACAGTAAGTGTTTCTTATCGCAATTTTAATTTAAAAGTAGTAAAAGTAAAGAATTATTGTATAAATTGATATACAGATTTAAATTTCCCGAACCACCTCCGGTACCGCAAAATTGGAAAAAAGTTAACAAGAAGATTAAACAAGATCAACAAAAAAGGAACGATTTTACCGATTTCATACATCCATACGTACAGCAACTTATAGCCGATGTAAGTATCACTTTTATGGTTTTATATTTGTCTTATTTGCTTTTTATTTTATAATGAATTAATACGGCTATTGTAATACAGAAAAAATATCCGAAATATGTGACCGATCAATTGAAGAATCCTAACAGTGAAGAAATGTCTCTCGATCTTATAGAAGAGTTAATCGGATACATTTCTAGAACACAAGGTCCTGGAGCAATACTAGTCTTTGTACCTGGTATGATGGACATAACAAAACTACATAAAATGATGATAGATAGTGGACGATATCCACAAAGTAAGTACATTTTACGAGTTATCGTCAACGTAAATCATAGTATTATATATTTATTCAAAATTATTCTTCGTATATAGGTAGATACGTTATTTATCCTCTTCACTCTCGTATGCCAACGATCGATCAAAAGCTTATATTTAAAGAACCACCTGTAGGAGTTCGAAAAATAATAATTGCGACTTCTATTGCGGAGACGTCGATAACTATCGAAGATGTAGTGTATGTCGTTGACTCTGGTAGAACTAAGTATAAAAGATTTGATTTGAATAAAAATATCGAAACTTTATTATCCGAATGGGTATCGTTAGCTAATGCGAAACAAAGAAAAGGTCGAGCGGGCAGGTAAGAGACTTACTTAGACTTACTTATTATTTGTAATAGTTGCTTCGATATTAATATGTTTTCTTTAGAGTGAAACCTGGTTGCTGTTATCATTTATATTCGAGAGCCAGAGAATCGACGTTTGAACAATACCCATTACCTGAGATGCTAAGGACTCGTTTAGAAGATGTTATTTTGCAAATAAAAATTTTACAATTAGGAAAGGCCAAATCTTTTTTAGCCAGTGTTATGGACCCGCCAGACGTAAAAGCTATAGACTTATCTTTAGAGCTACTCCGAATACTTAATGCATTAGATAACGAGGAACATTTAACGCCTTTAGGGTATCATTTGGCACAATTGCCGCTTGATCCACGAACAGGTAATGTCTCCGCTCCTAAGTATAACACCTTTTTTTGATAATAATAATGTTCAAAATAATATTTATTTTTACCAGGAAAGATGATTATATGGGCAGCATTGTTTTCTTGCGTAGAACCAGTTTTTGCGATCGCGGCAAGTCTTACGTTTAAGGATGCATTCTATTGCCCTTTAGGAAAAGAAGATCAAGCAAATAAAAAAAAACTTGAGCTTAGTTTAAACGAATACAGTGATCATATAGCATTGGCCGAAGCTTTAAGGAGATTCGAGGCTTCACACAGAAGAGGAAATGCTGGTTATTTTTGCAGGGAGCATTTCCTCTCTTTCAATACATTAAAACTTCTTTCTGAAATGAAAACTCAATTTGCTCAGCATTTGCATCAAATGAAATTTTTAGAAACTGACAATCCCAGCGATAGGAACGCCAACAAAAACTCTAGCAATATCGCGTTAATAAAAGCAATAGTATGCGCTGGACTCTATCCAAATGTTGCCGTTATAAGGTACGTATAGAAATTTCTAATTCATCAAAATTTTCACGGTTGATTAATTTCATTTTACCTGTATCTTTTAGGAGAGTTACAAAGAAAGGAACAGTTGCGTGGACTCCAGAAGACGGTAGCGTGAATGTGCATCCGTCAAGCGTAAACGATAAAATTCATCACTTTCCAAGCCCATTTCTTACATACTTCGTAAAACAACGATCGACAATGATATATTTGCATGACACCACATGCGTTACTGCACCAATTCTATTATTCGCCGCTCCGAATATGTGCATAAGTACGAGAAATGGACAGCTCTTTTACATAACTTGTATCATTTATATACATATAAAAATATTTTAAATTTTTCAGAAAAGGAAAAAGGAAATTATCTTATTAGTTTAGCAAGTTCACAAAACTTTCCTTGCGATTTGCGAACTGCGCAACTCATTCAGGTATAACAAATGAACCACTATAACCTCAAATTTATGTCTATGTACAATACCTTTTTACGTGTTTAATTTATTACAGAAATTGCAAGAAGAATTTAATAACATGTTAGAGTATAAAATAACACATCCAGGAACTGTAGTTTGGAATAGCCACGAAGGTGATTTACTAAAGTAAGCTTGGAGCTGTTTCAGCATTTGTTAATCTTAATCCTTAGATTAAAAAATACTAATACTCTTTGTTTGGTTATAGCGCTATTATAGATTTGGTCTGCCAAAAAGACGAGGAAATGGGATTTTCCGAGTCCAATAACGACGAGGGCGAAGACAATTTTGATAACCATAGTCAAACATAATTTAGTAATTTATTTGATCAATAAAGTAATTACATTTGCCAGTGTTTTAAAGTACACAGAAATAACTTGGGTAAAAGGAGCTTTTTTAGATCTCTTTTTAATTGACTTTATAAAATGAACCATTAAATATATTTAAACAATTCCCTAATTTTACCTACATAATAATAATAAAAAATAGATACAAGTACCTACAGATACATTACGAATTTTGTAATATAATTAGAAAATAAATATTTGATGAAACACAGTTTTTCAATATTAACTTTAATCGACAAAAATTGAACAATTGTTCAATGAACAAAAAAATAAATTGGCTTTGCAATATTTAGTTTCAAACGGTAATATTTTGTAGTTTGAAAAATCCGTGTCGCCTTCTATACAGCCGTGTCAAAAGGGTTGCCTACTTCTAGTTTGTACAACTACACTTGTAAGAAATGCTATTCTGAACCTGAATTCTCTTCAGGGTTGTACCAACATAAATAAGAATTATTATCAAATCGAATGCGTACGAATTTACTTTCCTCATATTTTCCTTATCTTAATTTCAGTGTTGCGAAGTAATAAATATAACTGGTCTATTTATGCTATAGGATGTATTGTCATCGAACGCCGTTACAAAGTGAGGTTACTTTGCACCTTACGGGGTATCTTTATACGTATCCTAATACGAATCAAAATGACGAACGAATTTTCTCCAACCTCGGTGTAAAGATACTCCGTTAAGCGTAAAGTAACCTCATTTTACGGTACGGTGATAAGTATTACTATAAATATAAAATGAGATTCGAGAATGACAGCATCCTTGACAAAATTTAGATGGTCTTACGAACCAGACGCAACAAGGGTATTTCGTTCTTCGCAGAAACTTTGCATAATTAGATAAATAAACTATAAACTTTTGTTGCTTAAACACGATAGTTCGATACGGTGTTTAACACGATGTTTTGCTGTAAAAGTAAAAAACTACAAAGCGTCCGAATATCAACGTTATTCACCGTATACGTTCGCGCGTCGTCAGTAAAAATGAACCTGAGGTCTGGCACGAGCTGATAGCCACCACGGATAGAAGTAAATAGGGGGAAGGCGAAAGAGAACGAACAAGAAAGAGGGAGAGTGGACAGGAGGGACGTTCCCGGCAATACACGGAGCGGGACACGTAGCGTCCGATTCAGTCTGCATCCGACCGCCGCGAGTGTCGCGTCGCGAAGCCGTGCTTGAAACTCGGGGGGACACGAGACTCCGGTACGAGTCAGTCGTGCGTGCGAGCGAGCGAGTGCGCGTGATACGACACAACACACCGCCGGTCTCTTTAATCCCGTGTCTAGGCGTTCATCTCCTGCTCCTTTTCTCTTTCTCTTTCGGCAGGGCTTTAATCACACGGAGCCGGTTAAATGTCGCAGATCTTGGTGCATCGGCGATAGAGAGAGAGTGAGAGAACGGGTCACTGAACGGCCGTACGAAGGTACGAAGAGGGAGTAAGAAAAATAAAAGAGGGACAGAGAGGGATTCTTCGTCGCGACGTACAACACATACGTATATATACACGTGCGAAAGCCAGAGAAGAGACGTGAACACGCGCGTGCGCACCCGCGTATCACACATACATACACACACGTATACATAGGCGCATATGTACAGAGAACAGAGGGTTAGAGAGAGAGAGAGGACACCGGTGCAGGAAGAGGCGAGGGAGCCCAGTGACACCGGGAGGGTTGGGTGTTCCTCGTGCAAAACCGCCACCGGAATATATGTCGTGAGTGTGCAGCCGAAGATCTCGCGGATAGAGGCGCGATAGTGCGTGCCGGGGCTTTAAGAAGGGAAAGAAAAAAAAAAAAAAAGCGGAAAGACTCTCTCGGGTGAAAAGCAATGCGGGTTCATTGACTGCGCGCCGCGCAATGGCCGCATGTTCGTGGCCGGTGCACAGTGCATGTGTGACAGGAGCTACGAGGAGGACGACGCCGAGGACGACGAGGCCGAAGATACCGGCTGCGGCCAACATCGAACTCGAGACCTACTGAAGTACTCTCTTCGGATTTCCGTGCGATCGGGGACGCCTCTCGATCCTAGCTACGATAACACCAACATTCAGATCTCTCGTCGTTTTTCGGTAAGTCGAATTTATCAAATCGCACCATGTAGATTTTCAAGTTGTATTTATCATTTTCTCTACTCGTAAATCCCGATTAATCGATTCGGAATCGAACGTCCCTGCGTGTGATTCGCAAGAAAGCTGACGGTTGTCGCGGTGCATACACGCCTCTTTAAGAATTCTCGTACCGATGCATCATGGGCAGCATCAAAACGACCTAATTTTTCACTTCCACGGTGTTTAATAATACGTTCCACTGTCGTACCTAACATGCTCGTTTTGAGTTTGAAACTGAGCAAACGCGTCGAATAATACGAAAGGGATATATCGACTGCGTTGCTTAACCGGCGTTTAACCTTCGGACAACGAACGCCGGGTTTTTCATGACCCAAACATCAGATACGTATTCATGCTAAAGTCGCGACGATGATATTGGATTGACTTCCCCGTTCTCAATGTTTACCAATAAAGTGACTCCGATAAAGTATCGAAATATTGTGCGCGTTAGACAGAGTACAACAGTGTACATAGAGGGTGGAACAAATTCGATTCGAATAATAGGCGATGAATAAAGGCACTCGATAACTATCCTTCTTAACCAGGGTTGCCACTGCTCCAATTTTCGATAGGATAGTCCTACTTTTACACCGACAGTTACAGGAAAAGTGTAAGCGGTCCATTAGGACCACACTATAAATAAAGATAAATGAATTGAATTGAATTTTGCACCGACATCGAAATGTATTACCATAGGATTTTAGAGCAATTTCACCGGTAAAAAGTACGTAGAAAGCACGTTCGATATTTGAATAAATTTTTCTACTCCGAGAAAGATTTTACGGCAGATTCGACGATACTATCGCGGCCAGATATTTTCTCGCGACAAAAGTTAATTTCTTTACGTTCGAGGACGAGTAACCGAAGGACGCCTACGTCACTCTTGCGATGACCTTATCACTACCCGCTGACCTTACCTACCATAGGTATTATAATCATCGCATCTTCGTAATGATACTTAATCGACCGCTTGTCCCGGTGCAGTCAATCTTCTCTTTCCCAAAAGGCGTACGTGGTCCTTGTAGAACATTAAAAAAACGTATAAAAGGACGAGTGATTCTTGAATATTGTTTCGCGGTAAAAACAAACGCTCTAAGAACGATTGCGCGTTACAGGTTGACGGTATCACCGTCGTAAACTAGAACAAATTTGATCGTCGAGCTTTTAATTCCGTATCTAATCATCTAGCAGCAGACTTTGCCATAAGTCGACAACACCTTATCTTTGTGCTCTTTCCATTGCTATGCTTCGTTTCTCGAAATTCGGATAAACTACTTAAACAGGGACAGATCGATAGAAAGAACGACTAGATTAGTTTTTTTTTTTTTTTTTTTTTTTTTAAAGATATACTCGCTTTTCTCTCATATTTGTTTCAAGTCGAGACGATGTAGTTGGTCCAGAAGCGTGTGACATGACTATCCGGTAGCGGGATATTTCAATTAGGTGTATATTTGATTCCCGATGGTTGAAAACACCGATTAGGTCGAACGATCGTAGCGTTGAAAGGAACAACTTCGCTTTGGAACAAATCCAACAGGCTGACTTGTGTATTCTAATCAAGTAAATCAGGATAAGTACGTGTTTTTGCTTTGCTCGCATTGCGTCCGATCGCGATGTAATTAGTCGGCGAGAAAGCAGAAAAATGTCGGTGTTCGTAAACCATAGCGTCCGCCTTGGTGAAAACGTTATTAGGAATGCAGAAGAATGGTGTGTTTGGATGATCCGTGTTTAGATGAGGTGTCGAGGGATTCGTCGAAGGATATTTATAAATACCAGATGCAAGCAGTGGTAATCGTCGAGTGGATGGTCATCGAAATTCGAAGTCGTAATCTCATTTGTGGCTATCGAGCGCTGCTGTTCATTGATCTTACGGTTTAATGGACGAGATCGTTGCACTCGCGATATGAGACGTACTACTCGCGATGAGATAATTGTGCTAAATTATCGTATATTGTCATTGATAAAATACACGTTGTCGCAAATGTGCCTTTATCGATGTGTCGAAAAATACCGTTTATACCGTTTGCTTCCAGCGAATCATCGATTTATGCGGTAAACAACGTACAGGGATGTATTCACGTTTCTCTATACGATTTAATAATAGCATATTCTGTCAATGATCCGTTCTCGATACGTAAACAAACTTTTTTACGACATTGAGACACACATACATGTATAAAATGTTGGTTGGCTGCATCCTCTCGAACAGCAATGGTAAAACTTCGGGTCCAGGTTAATTCGTGTATCCACTTCTCGTCCTTACCGTCGTTTAAGAGAGAAACACTGAATTAACGGTACTATTTTCGCAACGAGTGCCATAACCTTCCTTAACGTTCTCGATTTCGATCACAGCACTTACGACGCGTCGGGAGTCGATACGAGCGTAGCTTTAGTCGCATTGGTACTAATTTCACGTTCGAAGGTTGACACGCTTGACGAAATCGCTAGCCGCAACGGAAATGGGAAACCGTCCTTAGCCTAGAGATGCTACCAGCGATCATTGTCGCGTTATCGATAAGTAGCAACGTTCGATATATCGACGATATCGTTAAGATAGGCAGAATTGAAGTATCAAATTTATCAATCTGATCCATTTATTAGAAAATAATCCGTCGCTCGAACCAGAAGCGATGATACTTGGATACCATCGATGGTATTATTTGTAGGTTAGGTGTCGCGCTCGCGGCCGTGAAAGTAAAACCGTGTTGTTCCACGAATCCAGCTAATACCAATCAACTAATTAGGGACACTCGTCGAAAATCCAACGTCGAGATGCTCGACATCGTATACGTGCCACTCATCCGTGACTAATGCCTAACAGTTGGCGGGTGAAAATTGGCGCGATGTAAATATGGGACGAGTTCTCATGAGCGCGGCGTATATCCGCTCGATTTACTTCGTCAGCTTCAAACGCAACGTACGACCATTGCACTCGCTGCTCTCCCTCCCCCTTTCCAGGGGCGGATTTAATATTTTAAAGGGGTTCTCGAGAGCTTCTTATTCGTTGATCTGTTAACGTAACTACCGTTTGCATCACAGAAGAAATGTTTCTTCTAATTTTAAGTAAGGTTTAATATCTGAATATTTATGATCAGCGACGTAACTGTATCATCGATATCCGATCATTCGATTGAGGTATTCGGAACTTTCACGACTCGGTTTTTCTCGTCTGTCTAGTAAGAAGTAAATGTTTTTAAATTATAGAGCATATAGCTCAAATATTTTCCCAGGCGCATCGGACCCCTCGTCAGTCTAGTATCATTCTTGTAATTCTCAAAACATTTGATGTTTTCGATACATTTCCTTGCTCGATGTTTCGTTTGTTTGAAAATATTGGAATATGTTTTGTAGAGGACGACAAGAGGATAAATAATACTATCTTAGCGATCAAATTTGCCTTTCCTAAAATGCCTCGAAAAAGAAAAGGGTCCGCCAAAGCGTTGGCCCGCCATTGTTCGCTCTAGCCACCCAACCCTACTTCGCTCACCCCGCCCGCCATAATCGTCTTCGTTCCCGGCGCGCGAACTACGTTAAACGGGCAACAAGCTGATAAATAACGAGCGATTTAACGTGCGATAGCGAGTGATTCTTGGTTATGCGAAGAATTCGGAAGCTGATGAACGCGGGCGTGCAGCACGGGTACGCTGGTTGGACGGAAATAGGTGACCTATATATGTATTTCTGTTTTGCGAAATCAAACCGAATTTTTCCAATCGGACTCTTTGTCGTCGCGTTTCGGAAGTCACGAACTAGTTGCCCGCGGGACTTTTTTTTATTTACGTTCATGAATGCTTGTTCGAAACATCTTTGGGATCAACGTTTCGACGTACGGATTCCATCGCTCACGTTTTCCCGAAACACGACAGAGGTACGTTTTCTTTTTTCTCTTTGAAACAGGAACGAAGCTATGGTAAGCTTCGAGTAGGGGGCGTACAATCATTTTCCGCCATGTTTCGAGTAGAGGGCGCGCGAACTCCTTCGATTTCCCGCCGAGTGAGACTAATGTCGACCGCGAAGGATAGTTGTTGTTTTTGGTGATTCGTTTGTTAGGATGTGTCGTCGCGACGACCCGTTTATACAGTGGTGAATGTGTATTTTACGTGTCTTCCTCGAATTAAATAATTTGATAAGCACGACGAAAATGAAATTACGGAATGAAATCTCCGTAAGTGACACCTAAATAACGAATGAAAGATACTCACCGTCTGTCAGATGTGCACTGTTACCGTCTTACTACCGCGAAAGCCGCTATTTTCGCGATGAGAAAACTTGGTTCTGTTTTTACCGACCTCGTCGGTGGTAACGGATTACTTTACCCAAGCACGATTACCTTCGGCAGTAGCAATAGACGATCATGAATGAACGCGCGAGCGCGATGCTGAGGCTACTCGCGAGTACGTATTCGAGGCATTCGTTGCAACGTCCGGCGTTCTACGCGAACATCTGATACGCCGAGGTGGAATCAACTACTCGTAATTCCAAACTTACAACTCGTAGGTCGCGTAAAAGCTGTCTCTCGGTACGAAATAGAAAGAATATCGTCGGTCGCCGGACCAGAACATTTAAACAGGAGAGGAAGGTACCGTTTTCCTTTCTTCTTTCTCTCCGTGAACGGACTCTAAGATTTTCTTAATTTTCGATAAATATTAAAAAAGATAAACAAAAAAACCAAACCCATAAATATCACCTTGCGTTCTTATTTTCCAGATAAACGCCCTCGAAGCTCGGAAGAAAGGAAGATATGCTCCGTTTCTGACGCGATTCTCCCTCAAGTTCGTCGAACGATTTCATTCGAGAAACGAAAGCCGAACGTTGAATCGTCGTCGACCGTACCAAAGAGAACTGTAGAGACTTTAAACCGTTTCGACGCTCGACCAACCGTAAAAGCTCTTACGAAGACTCTCGATCATTCCGCGGATCGGTCAGCTCCGGTAACACGAATAACACGTCGCGATCGCTTCGATCTTCGAGTCGGACTTGATGCTCGCGAACAGGTACGAGGATCGCGAGACATCATCGGCGTCGAGTCGGCCGCGAAAATGTTTGGTCGCTGACGTTCGTAGGCAGAGTGAGGCTCGTCGTCGCGGCGCATCATCTTCGTCGTCGCGAATCGCGTCGGACGTATTTAGGTGGCGGGACAGTGAGAATATTCGCTCCGCGTCGTGGTTGTCGTCGTCGTCGTGCGTTGTTCAGCCAGTGGTGTTCAGGCAGTGAGAGAAAGATAAGAAGAGAGAGGCGGGCAGCTATAACCGGCAACCACACGGTGGACATGATTATTTCAAAGGATCTGTTCCTCTTTGGCGACCAAGATTACCTGCGCCTTCCCAGTAACGAGAAGCGCCAGCAACGGGCAATGGGCCGACCGATCATCAATGCTCCCAGGTGAGTGCCTTTCAACCGTTTCACGCATGATCACGGCTCTCTGCCGTTCTAGAAGATGTAATTAGCTGTTAGAGATGTTATCAAAGAAGATGTTAAAAACATTATTAAATTGCGCAGCCAATTCTCTCAAATATTACAGACGAAAGAAATCGACTGGTCTCGTACTTTTCGTTCTTTTCATCGACAGACGTACTCGATAGCGATATTAATCTACTTGAATATGAATTCACATCCAAGTAATTTTCATAATTTTTATAAAAAGCAGGACTGATATTACTACATCGATTAATGAAACGTTTTCTACATAGACTTTGCACACGTTAGATTCCATTTATAAATGATTCTTCAATCTTAATCTATAATTGCAACTGGTCGACGTCTTCCATATAACGAGATTCTATTCCCGAGGATATTTAAATGATCTGCTACTCTTGTTACGTATAGTATAACGATCAGCTCTCCGTATCGGAATACTCAATTCCATTAATTATAATCTATACGCAACCAGAGACGCGCTTGGACGTGCATATTGCTTGTCAGATGTCTTCAACGGGTACTCGTATTTTTTTCGGTGTTCCTTTTTCAACGATGGCAGAATATCAGAGAACCGTCAGCTATGCTACGCTAGATTGCGCGTGTTTCTGTCGGCGCGCCGGAGCAAAACGAGCAAACAAGGCAAGGAAACGCGAGTTGAAATGCGGGAATTAGTCATTCATCGTTATAAAAGTGGGACAAGTTTACGAGACATAAATATAGTAAATAGGAGGCGTTCCGTGATGCGACGCGATGGATGAGAAATAGAAACAATTTAAATTAAATTAATCGCATCTTCGACTTTCTCGCGATCCTTTTGTTCTGTACATTTCCAAGCGACGTCGATCTTCTTCTAAGATGGCAATTCCTATCGTTGAACAAATTATAAACATTACGAAGTACTCAGAATTAAGGTAACGAAGTAGATTTCCGTTCCGTGCTTCCGCAAGTGGAAATCGTTATTTTCTTTTCGAAGTTGTAGATTAAACAAAGCAGTCCGGTGGTGCCACGGACATTGATAACATTTGTTACTCGTATGCGCGGTCAAAAGTCATTCCCACCACTATTCGCGTTTCTTCGGCAGGTGGCAGCTGTGAAAACAATGCTCAGCTGGTCGAACTTTGTCCTATTGTATTTCATTCGTTGTTCTCTTGGACGGGCTTCTTTGAGTTTAATCAGTTCCCTACTCGAGCTTTGCATATCGATACCTGTTGGCGCCAAGTTTTGATCGCTTAACGAGGAGGAGAAAAATAGAGGAGGAAGCACGAGGGTAATTAACGTCAGCCGGGCACACATGACTGTCAAATCCCTTATCGCGACTGATAGTCGATGATCTCTTTCGAAAGAAGCTCGAGACGGTGGTTGGCGGGTTCCCTTATCGTGTTCCCGTCATAAAAAAAAAATACCTCGCCGATTAAATTGCGAGTCGCTTAACGAATTCGCGCCGTAAAATCCCTGTCGACCTTCGTCGTGTCAACGGGGATTCGATTGTTCCTGACGTTTCTTTATTCGCCAACATCGCGCCGCGCCGTTCACGCCTTAAACATTATCTGCTCGATTGTTGGTCGTTGCTCCGTGTCGTCGTTTTATCGGTCCCGTCGGACAAATTTATTTATACGTTTCGCGGTTGTTTGTTCGCGAGCAGATTCGACGAACGGCGTCTCGAACCGCGGCTGTTTGCGCCCGTGTTTGTTTGCGATCGTCTTCGTCGGCGACCAAACAGTGACGAGCAGCATCGCTAAGCCTCGCGCGTGTCGTCGTCGTTTGAATTGTCTGAAAAATATGTCAGGCCATCGAGGCTTTGTCAAGAACAGAGATTACCGGTAACTTTTCGTTGAAGACGTTCGAAACTTTCTTTAAGAGAGGACGGGGTAGGTACCTGTCGTTCCCTATAGGGAAACGTAAGGTCTTCGTAGCCGTAGAAATCCCACGCATCTTTTTATAGCAATTCCATATCGGTTCCATAGGATATCATAGATTTCTGCAGTCTCTTCGCAACGATTGTTCGGTTCTTCGTATCCTTGCATAGGGATTGAGCAATGTTTCTGTAGCACTCTGTAGGCTCGCACTCTCGGTTTTCGTCAGAAATAGAGATTTCGTAAGTCGCCACGGAGGGTTTGGAATTTTCCATGCATGACGATTTTATAGGTATCCATATTTACCTGTAGCGATTAGTCATGTTTGTGTACCTTTCAATTGCGATTGTGCAATTATACAGCCATTTCGTAACTCTGTGTAGGAATGTTATAACTGTCTGGAGCGACTTTTCTGTGCTTTATCGTACTTTATAGCTTGTTCTAGTCGCACGGTGATTCTGCAAGACCGTTTACTTGTTCCCAGATCTTATCTGACATCTAACGACTTTGAGCAGGGATTCTATAGCTTTCGGCGACAGTTCTATACCGTCCTTTAAATAGGGCGGCGATAAGTATACGGGTTAAACGACTCGTTGTATATCTTCGGGACGCTCGACGGAAACGAGCGTAGAATTTGTTGCCGGATATCGTCGCAGTTCGCGGAAATGATAAATCGTATTTCGACGAGAGTGCATTCCACGACGAACGATCGCGCGCGGCTTTTCCTTGGATCTTCGTTTCGAAAGCGTTTCGAGGTATCGATTACCTTTCCGCGAGTTTCGAAACCTGGTTTGCCTTTACGGAACCATACCCGGGCGCAAATTGGAACCCAGAAACTCGGCGAGTAGGCCACGCGGTGAAACGACAATTATTTCCGGATATTTTTTTCTGACGTGTTTGCGCATTCGGAAACACAACGATATCGTAATTAATTTCGGTATCGCGTGGCTTCGAGTAAGATTTCGCTCGCTTCTCCACGGCCCGCGAGAGCAGATTTTTCTGGAATTTCTTCACGCGTCCGAAGTACGAAGAGATTAAACGGTTGAATTCTTTATCGGTGTCAACGCCGCGACGCGATGCTTCGGAATTTCTGATATAGACCGTCTCTTGGCGAACTGTAAATAAAACGAACGAAAGCTCTCGCCGTTTATCGTCGCGGTGATTGGGTCGCGCGGTCCGCGGTATTTGGTGATTCTTCTGACAAAGAAGTTTGTAAATCAAACCTCCGCGCTATGTTTCTGTATAAACTGAACGGCTGATAAATTTTCCTTTATATCCAGCGCGCATTATCAGGTTTGCTACCAGCCAATCGATACCCAAACTGTAGTGGACGCCGCCAACAAGTTTGCTTTCTACCCGTATATTCGATATTATAATATTTGGTTCGATAGCGAAAAAGATCGCGCATCGCCGATCAATTTTCCATTCCCATTACGCGGCAACTATCGTGGGTAAGTGGTATAGGCGCGCGATACGTGTTCTAACCTAGAAACGATCGATCGAAAGAAAAATCGGTGGTTTCTCCTCCTGAGAAAAATCGAGTCTTCCGCTTGGAGATGAAACCGTTCCAGTTTCCCATGCGTGACCCACTGGAAGGGACTCGTCGTACACGCGTTCTCCTTATCGCCTGCTCGGGCGTGGACTCGTCTAGAAGGAAGAAAAGCGGATTTGCAGACTTCTTGCTCCTTTCGAGCATTTCCTAACCCCGATGATACATATGTGCAACGTACATACGTGCCTCGAGCTGGACTTTCAACGGTTTCTTGGACGACCACATAATTTCATCGCGAATGTGGATCTCGACGTAACGAATCGAAGATGGACAACGTTCTATTCGAAAAATAATTTACTCGGTTGCGAAAACTCGCGTCAAACGTAACCAACACGTATGTATTTGCGCAAAATTAACTACTCGTGTTAAATATATAAAATTCGCAGTCTGCGGGTGACGAATAAGAAAACGATAGCGCAGCGAGGATTTCGTAATTTTTATCGACTGAACCATCGAAAGTTGTTTATCGTATTCGAAATGCCGAGCATTTCGATGTATGAGTACTGGAGAACCACACGAATTTATCCAGTTTTTCGTTATTTTCTTTATTAGAGCGACCTAAATTTTTCTTATCTCGACCCTCTCAATTCGGTGTCATCGTAGGTGATTCCTAAAGAAAATATCCAAGATAAAAGTACTTAGATAGCTCCCGAATCTTGTCACTTTCCCAATCGGTCGAACTCTAAATTTGTCTCGGAAAAGAAAGAAAATCTGTCGGTGTGTCAATATCAATCATGCGAACGCCAATAACATTTCTGACAGGGAACCGCGCGACTAGGCATATTAAACGCTACTTATCTCGCAGACGAGCATTAGTTTGCTCGCGATGAATCTGGATTCAAGTTCAATTCGGAGCGGTGCGATGCACTTTGGCCGTGTTCTTTCGAGAGCGGATGGAATGATTCATACGACGGAATTAGTCAGAGTCGAGATCGGTCGATCGCTGGAAACGTCGATTTCGCGTACGCGGTCTGCTTAACCCCCGGTTTATAAACGTTCCATGGGAACGATCGTCGCGCCCGTCGACCGCCTATAGGCGTCGAGTAAACGAACGGGGTTACAAATTTGGAGTTAACGTAGTTTGTCTTCGAGGTACAGGTTAGTTTGAGAGGTCTATCTAGAAAAGAGTCTTAAACGTGCAGGAATTTAAATCGGACGAATCAATTTGCTCCGAAGAAACGGTTTATTAGCGAGTCTAATCGAGAGGAAAGCAGGCTTTTCACGGTGTACACGAACGAGGAATTCACTTACTTGGAAAGACACCTTGCGTTTCGCCGTGGAAGCCGCGACCTCTCCATAAAAGTCTCTCGATAACTGGGTTTCTCTCGGCGTTACTTCTTGCGGCGTCGCATTCAAAACACGATCTCCTTTCTTTTTCGCATTCTCAGAAGCTCGCCAGGACCCATCGTGCACGTTTTATGCAATTCCGTCGCATATGCTCGAAGCTGTGTACACTTTTCGGCGTGCCGGACGTGCTCCTAATGTAATTTCGGTTGGTACGTATTAATTTTGTTCGGCCCATGTACACCGATAGATTTAAAAATCTTTCTTTACGTTCG